AGGAAATACTAGGATTTCTTTATCTTCAGATTGCTATTTTCATCATACACCTCCTCTTAGATCAACCTTATAATATCATTTTCATTTAAAATATTCTTAATAGTAATTTTTTTCAAGTCTTGAAAAAATTGGTTAATATGTTTGCCAATGAAAAGACAGAAGGATCATTAATATTAAGCTCTTTGATCATTTGATCAATATCATTTGTTTCATTATCTTTTCTTCTTGTTGGATTTGTAATGTGTCATCTCTATCTTCATTAGATAAAGAAGGCAAAATTCTAGTCTTTCTCCAACAGTTCTATACTGTTTCTTCAGTTACATAACCCTATGCTTTTACAACATAATTTATTACTTCTTTTATATTAATTCTTTTACTGTTTATGTCTTTTTCATCCTCAAATAGATCCAGCATATGATAACGGTACTTTCTCTTAAAGTAGTTTTTAAAACTCACAATAATTCTGATATTAAGTGGTTGGAAATGACTTGTGGTATTAGGAAATAAAAAAACCATTTTGATATGAGTAAATTAAAGCTGGGAAGTATCAGATTGATGTCCTTCTGATCTATCACAATTATCACAACCTCTTGATCCATTATGACTGCCATGATCTCTTAATTCACCATCATAAGTGTCATGATCTCTTAATCTATTACCATAACTACCATGACTTCTTGAAGCTCGATTTTCTATTATCATTAAATTACAGAGAATGGTCAAAAGCATCTGAACACTATATTTGACATTTAATATCTCAAATCACACTAATTAGAATTAGACCAAATTTTGATATATCTTAAATACAATCTCAAAGTATAATATATTCAAATTTTAGATAATTTGAATCATTAGATATTGAGATATTAATATAAACGTTAAATTAAAAATAACTTTAAATATAAATTTTAATTAACATTTTAAAATAATGTTAAATTGATTTTCATAATATCTAATAATTCAAACTAAATAAAATTTTAATAAATAATAAATAAATATGATATTTATAATAATTCAAAATTTAAGCTAATTTAAATTACTAGTTATTGATATTTTTGACATATATTTAATATAAAGAATATTAAAAAAGCAAAAAATATTAAAGTTTTAGAATATTTATCTTTATATTAATTGTTTTAACAGTTAGTAATTCAAATTAGCTTAAATTTTGAAATATTATAAATATAATATTCATTTATTATTTATTAAAATTTTATTAATTTGAATCATTAGATATTATGAAAATCAATTTAACATCATTTTAAAATTTTAACTAAAATTTATATTTAAAATTATTTTTAATTTAACGTTTATATTAATATCTAGTGATTCAAATTATCTAACATTTGAATATGATATACTTTGAGATTGTATTTACGATATATCAAAATTTGGTCTAATTCTAATTGGTATGATTTGAGATATTTGATGTCAAATATAGTGTTTGGATACTTTTGGCTACCCTCTGTATATTACATAATTAACATATAAAAAGAATAAAATAAACCAAAAAATAAATAAAAATAAAAATAAACCTAATTTTACCAAATGTAGATAATTCATCTTCATCATTTTCATTTTGATTAATTTCTACAGCCGGTAAATAATATAAATTGAAATGCAATAGAACATTATCAATCAAAAGCAAGATTTTTATCTTATGTTCTGAAACAGCTGTTTATTTTACGAAGAACCTCTTCAAACACTGACGAGTTTATTCAAGCTTTAGGATTACCTCAATAATAATGAGAAGATGCTCTAAATTAATCTTTGAAAGAGTCCTTGAGTGCTTTGAATTACTGATTACCTATAGTTTGAACTTGTCAGTTCCTATTGCATTTATGCTGAAAAGAACTGTAATTTGTGTTTTATCTTTCTTTTGGCCAGGAACTGGTTTTGTCAAAAGTGTTTGACTTGGAGGCATTTGATAAAAAAGGTCTTATGTTTAAAGAATAAAGAATATTAGTTCTCTAATTACACAAATTACATCACGTTTTATGCTATAATACTACACATTCCTAATTATACACATATTCAATCAGACTATAAAATTTTGCATTAGCAGGACCCTGAACTATACTAATATAACTCACATTTGAGTTTGCGTAGAGTTTATATGTAAACTTTGCCAAAAGTTACTTATTTTTACAAATTTACTTATTCTACATATCCCATTATCTCAATAATCAGTGATTCGATTTTAATAAAGTAATTTCATTTTTTTTGCATTAATATTGACCGAGTTATACCATACAATATTATTTTAATTGTGTGTTTGTACTACATTTGTGAGTTCTATTAGTATAGTTCGGGATCCTGCATTAGCCCTTTAAAACTTTTAAAAAATGCAAATTTCACAGTTCTAAAAACAACAGTGCTAATAAAAACTGGAAAAAAACTTACCATTTCATCAATATTGTAAGTTTGGTCAGGAATATATTGATTTAAAATTAATTATAACCTTATACATTCTTTTAAAAGAAATGCTAAAGACTCACTTCCTGATTCACTATGTATGTGATATCTATGAATGTTATTGCGTCTTTTAAACTTATATAACCAACTATTGGAAAAAGTTAAATTTTTTTTTTGAATACTTATGGCTGAATGATATTGTTTTGGTTTGGATCTAATAGGAGCCATTTTTGAAAAAGTATCTTTTTTAAGTGATGATCTGTTTCTGCAGATTTATATGATTTAATGTGTTACAGATGCTACATTGATGATCAAATGTGTTAAAAATGATAACTTTAAAAAAGAATCCCATTATGAGCAAATTACTATTGGAATTCTTTTTGTTTGTAGATAAATTTTTATGGAAGAAGAAGTAGATAAAATGATTCAATTAATATGTAAACATATAAATTTTTAAAAAATGATTATAATAAAAATTTTGAAACTTAATTTTCAGTAGTTTTGGCTTCTATATCAATTTTTTCTTAAACAGAACATATGTAGATTTTTTAAAAAATTTTTTATTATTATATAAATCAATCATTAAAATCTTAAATTTTTAATTATTAATAACATAAAAAAAATTTTAATTTATGCATAACGATCATAGTTCAAATATTAGTCGATTCATAAAATGTGTAAAGATTCATTTTAAAAGTTTTAAATTTTCAACAAAATGCAAGTGACATTTCATATAAAAGTATTTTTTTTTTTTAAAAATAAAATAATAATTTATTTTTATTTTTTATAAAAATCATGTCATAAAAAAGAAAAAAAAATTAATTATAAATTTTTTTTCTTTCGATTGAAAATATTTACTCCTTTTTGACTAACTAACTAATTGAAAAGAAACAAATATTTGAAGAACGAGTCAAAAAAAAAAAGAAATAAAAATTTTCAATGTAATTTGTATTTTTTGGGGCTCCTTGGCGAATTTAAAAAGCTTAATGTGAATATTTGTTGACTGAAGAACAAGGAGCGAATGAATTACGATGTTTGTAATGGGAGGAACTTAAAAAAATGAATGAATTTTTTTTTTTAGGAAAAAAAAAAAAAAATCGATATTTACGAGTTGCGACGACAAACTTCAAAGGGCTACTTTTTCGTCAAATAAATATCATTACTCACTAAACTAATGAAAAAAACTAACAAAAGAAAAGGACACTACTCCAAAAATAATTTTGAGAAATAAAAAGGTGGTGGGTCTCGAACCTTTTAATAATAATAATAATAATAAAAGATCTTACTATTTTAAATCTTCTTACTTTCCTTTTTAGATTGATTATATAACCCCACCACCAGGACAATAGATTGTTGACAACTTCTCATTCCCAATTATCGTACGAAACGATGAAGAAGAAAAAAGATTAAAAGGAAAAAAATAACCGAAAATTACTTTTGTGTTGAAAATAAGACAAACCCACCATAAGAATTAGTCCCCAGTCTAAAAAAGTACTAATTGTAAGATAAAAAAAGAAAGAAAATGCAAAAAAAGTAAAGTGTCAGGCTTTTCTTCGACTCAAAACAAATACAAGAATCGAGAAAAGCCAACATGTTAAAAAAATTTTTTTAAAGGAGAGAAAATAAACACAAGAAAAAAAGAGGAGGAAAAAATAGGGGTATTCATACAAAATGTACAAACGAAAAGAGAATTGAAAAAGGAAGGATGAGGGGAAAAAAAAATATATATTAAAAAAATCCAAAAAAAAAAAAATCTTTTTTTGAAAAAATTCTAAAATATGATTAAATAAAAAAAGGGAATTATAAAAAAAAAGAGGTGAACCACAAAAACATATTTACAAATAAAATCTTTTCCAATTTACATAACCAAAATGAAACGAGAATTAAAAATGAGTTCTATTACTCGAAATTTTTCAACACATTAATGCATACTATAATTAACCCATGAATAGTGTCCAAAATCGAATAAATAGGGGAGAAACCAAAATTATTAATTGATGAGACGAATTACGGATGTTAATGACGTGATGGCAAAAAAAATTTTTTTATCAAGGGCATAATAGTGGGTGCACTTGCATTGAACATTTCGCAAAAAAAGAACCCATCGTCCATGACAAAAAGGAAAAGATCCAAACGAATTAGGAAAAGATCTGAAGAAATATGTCTATGCAATAAAAAAATAATAAAGAAAGGGGGAAGTAATATGGTGGGTATTATTAGGGTGGTAGTAATAAAAGCAAAGAAAAAAAATTTGAAAAAATATTATAACAAAGAAAGAAAATAACTTGCAACAAAAAATGTACAGGTGCAGAAAAAAAGGGAAAATGCAAAAAAAATGAAAAAAAAAAATATAATAACAGAAGGAAGTGCCACACGTCTAGAAAAAAATTTAATATATATATATAATGAAATTAAAACTTTTTTTTGATTAGATCGCCTTATCGATAATATTATACAAGGTGAAACAGAGTGGTCGATACATGTTTTCCCTGTAATCACGAATAGTAAAATTATAAATATCTAGACAAATTAATCTACACAAGAGACACCTCTTCTCGTTCTCTTTTCTTTCTCCCACGCACAATTTATTGCCCATGAATTTTCAACAAACTCCTTAAAGTTTCAGAAATTTCATTCAAATTGAAACCATTATTTGCAGGATAAACTTTCATTGGATGATGAGCAGTAGCCATACGTTCAGGAACCATGTACGCTGCTGCGGTTTGATGTTGACGGGCATTGGCAGCTGCCAAAATACGCAAAAGTTCTTGCGATTTTTGTTTTCTCAAAGTAGGAGTTTCTGGATAATAAGGTGCACTCGATGGTTCAAAGTCATCCATGGCAAAGATGTCGTCGTCGGAAGCATTACCCGATGATGGTGAAGAGTACGAGTCATTGTAAACTCTAGGTGGGGATGGCATATTTTCGGGAACGGTAAACAAGTTGTTACCACCAACCGACAAAGGACTTGGGTCCTTACCCAAAGATTTACTGTAAAATGAAGGCATTGGTAAATCACTTGGGGCGGGTGAATTGTGAAAGGTGGGACCGGCGTAAAGTTTATGAACGCCACCAAGTCTACTTGGGGAACTTGAAAGTCTACGGGCAGATGGAGGGGTTGACGACAAGATTGATTCGGACGGTGGAATGACTGAATCAGAGTCAGAGAAGCGAGAAACTTGACTTTGCAATTCGATGGCAGTGCTGGAAAGACGACGGCTTGGAGCAGAATCAACATGATTATCTGAGAGTCTCTTGTATTCTTTATCTATAGGTCTATCCAAATGACTGTTAAAACGAAAATGAACGACGAATTAATATGCAATCAATTGAAGCAATTGAAGGAACTAAAAAAAAAAAAAAATGATGAGAACATACCTCTTAACAGAAACGTTGTCATCGGAATTCGAGCAAACGACCTCTCTCTTGTTACTATTCATCCCTTCCTCAAGTGCAATAATAGCGTTAGAATAATTAAGAGGGGGGAAAATGACGGCGGCATTGTTTGCTTGTGAAGGAGACCCAGACAAACTATTATTATTATTATTAAATGTTGAAGATGACACTGACTTCACATATTTACTACTATTTACATCAGATTCATCGCCCGAACCTGAAAGTTGTTTGATGGTAATTGGTTGAGGTGGGCTAGCACTAAGCAACACATCAGCTTCAATATATTCTAAGGTCATGGATTTAATTTCCTTACGACGTTGAGCACGTTTAGCCTTGGAAGGCGTTACGTCGGAACGACGACGTTGTTGTTGTTGTTGTTGAGGCGACTTCTCAAACGCCTTTCCATAGCGTTGCTCTTGAGTTACATCGAGAGTAATAGTCGCTTTCGAAGATTTTACAAAGTCCGTAGCGGATTGAGGTCTCTTGAGGATCGAAACACTAGGTGTAACTCTAAGTTTATCTTCGTCGACCGAGTCGCTGTGCTGATGTCTTCTTAAGGGTCTACTTGAAGTACTTGATTTTCTTTGTAATTGACCGACAGAACCATTCTCAACTAAACCATCAACATTTTTTGGTTCTCTATGATACGAATCAAAATTATCGACGCGATTATTGCTGTAGTTTGAAAAGGTTTTGTTGTTGGAATGACGAAGGTTGATGCTAATATCGGCGGCGGGGGTGCTGGTAGTATTCGCGGTAGATGATGATGACACGGAGGTTACATTTACAGATGTCTCTCTTATTTGTTGTTGATTATACGAAAAACCGCGTTTCCCCCTGTTTAAAGACTTTGACCGGTTGTGAGATTGATGTCTCGTTTCCGGATTTTTTAATTGTTGAAGGTGGTGGTGTTCGAGCCTGCTCTGCACCACTGGAGCAGAGAATTTATTTGCTGTATTATTTACTGTAGTATTACTTATATGATTAGTCATTGTCCTTTATTTTTTTTTTTTTATAAATTTTTATAAACTGTCTTTTAATTGAGGTAACCAATGCCAAAAGAATTTGTTTAAATGAATAATGCAATGCGAGAGAAGTGGTTTAATAATTATAATCAAGCTGGGGCTGTACGACGTCCAGAAGGTCGAGTATTGAGAACAAAATTGAGGGAAAAAAAAAAAATAAACCGTTTTCTAGTTAGTATATTTATATCAAAAAAAAAAAAAAAAAAAAAGAGGTACAATCCGGAAACATTCGATACCAAAAAAAAAAAAGAGGTTTAACCATACAAGTTCAAGTGGGAAGTTTCGGGAGACACTTTGGCGCTGTGTTGAATATTACTATTGCTGTATTGATGATACTGTAAGGTATAGTCTGATACTATAAAACACAAATAGGTTGTTTTAATTTATCAGTCAGATATTTGTATTGATAGATTTCTTTTTTTATAAAACAAATTCGAGTGATTAAGAAAAGTACAAGAACATATATATTAACATATATATACATTTATTCTCTCCAGCGTGGTGGTTGGATTTTGTTGGTCGAGTAAGGTTTTTTTTTATATTCACTGTTTTTTTTTTATTTGTTTTTATTTGAAAGAGTATGGTCAGGTTGATGATCCGACGCTCGAGTCGAAAAAATTTACTACGTGAAAGAAGAAGGAAATAATTTTTTTTTTAATAATAAAAAAGGTGGAATGGTAGTAATAAAAATTTATTTGAAAAAGGAAAGGGAGGAAGAACAAGAAAAGGTAGGGTTTTGGGATTATAAGGAAAAAATGAAGTTGAATGATGGGATAAAAAAATGGTATTGAATAAGGAGGTTTGTAACTAAATACAAGCAAATCTATTTTTTTTTTTGACGCTTGTGTGACAGCTGTAAACCCGAACACAAATTTTTTTTTTATTATGATTATTGATTATTTATAATAAATATAAAAAAATTTACTCTTATTATTACAAAAAAAAATATTAAATTGACAAAGGAAAAATTTTCGAATAATTTTATATATATATATATATATATATATAAAATATAATATAAAGGTTAAATAGTTTAAATGGTTTATATAATCATGATACATACATACATTTTAAACTAATCTATTTATAAAACAAGTAATTCAGGTTTGTCATATATAAATATTATCGTCATAGAATTTATTTTAGGATGTGGAACATCATCACATTCATCACAATATAATATGAGAAATTGTTTTTTATAACCGATCATACGTTACTTTAGATATATGAGGCGGTGTTAAAGAAACTCATATTATTTATAAGGGCGCACACGAACCAAAGGGGAATAGCGTGATGCGGGCGCAAAGCTCCATTTCCGTTTTCGCTTTTTCAAGATGGATTCATGGAAGTTACACAAGTTACACACAAAAAAAAATATATTAAATTAATTTACAATTGTAACCATTATGTATGTTATTTGCAACGGGTAGTGACTAGTGAATTTTACATTAACTTGGTGGGGGATTTCAAAAGTTTTTTGCAAAGACCAAACAAATCCTCCATTTCTTTGATATCGAATACCGGATGCAATGGGCACGATGCAGGTGCAAGTGAGAAAATGATATAGCGTAGTCATTTGCCAAAATTAAGTATTTATGATGGTTTCTCATTATTAGAGGGGATGAATATGCCCATGCAATCCTAATTTTCGTTGTGGTTTTATTCTAAACATGTTCTCATGATGCAAGTAACGGCCAAAAAAAAAGTGCTAGCTTTTTTTTTTCTTTTTTTTTCATTCTGAAGAGAAATTAGGGTTTTTTGTGACAGCACGTTTTAGTTACTTTTCGTACTTTTCCCTTAATTAATGATTACTTGGTAATACAGATGTTCTATTTTCCAAATAAGCTTTTATCGAATTCAGAAAGAGCCTCAGATTTCAAAAGTAATTTCTTTGTTGTAAAGTCATCATTTTTTTTTTTTTTGAGCCTTTAAATTTTTCCCACAAAATTTTGAAACGAGACCGTACATGAACCACCTGAATCATTACCATAAACTATCCCTGAATAAACACAAATTAAAAAAAACTAGATTGCAGCATCCCATCCACCCAATTCATCCTCCATCCCATTTTGCCTGTTCGTTTCTCGACATTATTCCGCAAATAATCTTCCTTTTTATCCAATCTCATCAGTTTTTGCTCATCGGTGAGACAAATTAGTATTTATCCGATTAATGGTTAATGAAAACTCAAAAAGAAAAAAAAATTAAAACATATATAATTTCTAACAAGAAGAAAAGTGAGAAAAAAAAAAAACATAAATGTTGTGTTGCGATACTTGTTTTATCAAATTGTGGGGAAATCAATTCATCTATCGTTATTTTTTTTTTTACTAGTTTCTCTTTTTTTTAATTTCCATCACCCTTCAATCATTACCATTACCTTACTTTCGTACGCAAAACATAACTGCAACCAGTTGATCTAATAAGTTTTCTTTCAGTCTTAATAAAAAAAAATTTTTTTTCCTTTTCTTGGATGATTCGTATCTTTACGGTATCTTTACACCATTTCACTGGGCTGTGTGAAGATTTCCTAACATAATTTTCTCACCATTAAGGAGCAAACTAGTTCATTACGACTAGAACGAAGTTTTTTTTTTTGTGTTTAGGTGATTTGCATGATAAGATCTTGTTATTTTTTAAAGAATTGGTTTTTTTTTCTTTTCAAATTTCTTCTGGCAACTTTAAAATTCAACTAACTCTATTTAGAAAAGATAAAATTGCAAGCTCCTTTTTTTTTGAAAAAAAAGACAAACAAACAAACAAACCAGCGAAAGAACGTGAATTAGAGGATTGAGTGATAAGGTGGGGGAATTCAACGGAGTTTACCGCAGGTTCAACAACAATTAGCAAATAACTTTTTTTATTTTTCCAAAGGTTATCTCAATAAAAAAACCATTGTCAAAAGATTAGGTTCAAAAAAAGTTATATAAGCCATAAAAGATTTCTTTCATTTAATTCATTTTTTTTTTTATTGTAAGTTTACATACAGTTCGGATAGATGCATCCCCCATCCTTTTTGCACATATTTTTTTTTTAAAAAAAAAAAAAGGTACAATGGTCAGACAGATAAATTAATTTTACCTATTTCAAAAAAAAAAGTTCAAAAGAATGAGAAAAGGAGAAGGTATTATCATAATGATTTTATTCATTGATTGTGACGAATTCCAACCATTCGGAAAAATTCAGAAGCTGTGCCATCTCTGGCCCTTTTGTTGACATCATCATCTTCATTCATCATTGGAATCATTGTTCGAGACAAATGAAAGGAGCGCCTCTTTCCAAAGATGTTTCGCGCAAAGTTCTAGTTCTATTGTAATTTGGCGCATCCTCATGTGGTGCACCGAATTCTTTTTAATTGACGCCACTCGGGTACAACTTACCAAACCTTTTCAAGGGCAATCCGTTGTGTTAAAAAAGATTAACTCCCTTCAAAAAAAATCTCATCAATGGATTGTTTCTATCATCCATAATATGACGGCCGATTACCAAGTTTTTATTTTTTTTCACTAATCAAAAAAAATATTAAAATAAATTTTGTTAAACTGTGATTCATTTTATTACTTTTTAGTATTACCAGATTAAAAGCGGTAACATATCGGCGGTTCCAAACCGTGTCCCAAATATTTGTATTAACAAACCAGCACAGTTTTGTTTTTTCCTTGAACGCGAAATCTTTTTTACCCCACAAAAAAAAAAATCTCTTTCAAAGGAGAATTCGACCTTATGAAAAATTCCCGCCAATTTTTCCTTTTCTGAAAGGTTCAACAATAGATCCGAGGAGGAGAATAAAAAAAATATGAAAGGTAGTCGTGTGCTCTTTGTTTTGATGATTTTCATCTCAAAGCTTTTTCCTCGGGAGAATGAAAGAAATAAAAATTGGATTGTTCTTTTCCTCCCCACAATTTTTTTTTAAAAAAAACAATATTAACTCATTTATCAATATAAATAGTTTATTTAAAAATAAGTACAATATATCTCTGACGAATAATAAACAAATAATAAAGTAAACAACATAGTTCCTTGTTTGTATGACAGGGATACAGTGGTTGCTTATCCATCACAACCTTACCTTTTCACCCATAGCATTCATGGATCATCATCAATGAGGAAAAAAGGGAGAATAAAAAATAAAAAAATGATATTATTTGAGAAAGGAAAGTAAGAAGAAAATTTGATTTAAAAGGAAAATCATCGAGGGATATTTGTTTGGTGTTTTCCCATTGATTTTGAAAAAAGAATCAAAAAAAGAACAAAAGAATTTTTTATGCTTAAATTCTTCCTACATTACAACAAATAAAATCCGTCATTCTGACTGGTTCACATCTTTTTCTTTCTTTTCTTTTCTATGGATCACATTTTTATTTTTTTGGCGTTTTTTTTTTTGATAATGCAAATTTGTACAATGTTGAAAATTTCCAATACGGGGAAATAAAAAAATTTCATTCTAGCCCATTTGGCAAAGATTAAGGGTTGAAAGCCCAATCCTTTTTCTTTTCTTCTTGTTCAAATACCCACTAATGGAAATGATTTGAAAAAAATTTCATACTGAAGTCGATCAATTTTTCATAAAAAAAAAATTTTTTTTTTAAAATCGTTTTTTTTCCCTTTTTACGCCTCGTGTACATAAAAAGGGATTTGATTCCATTTTTAAAGGACCTATTTTTAGTTTTATATTTTGTCATAAACTTGTCATCATCATAATGTCATACAATGAAATTTAAGAAAATTTATCTGACATAAAAAAAGAAAAAAGAATTAATTGCGATACACTTATCATCATCAAATGGTTGAGTGTCACGTTCTGTATTACCAAAATCACACATCCGAAATTATATATATAACTTCGAAAAAAAAACAGAAAATTCCAAATATTTACTAATTAGATGTTTAACCAACAACATCCGTTCTACCTAATTGGCCTTTCCCAAATACTTCCCATTTTAAGACGTGTGTATTTGATCCGCGCCAAACCCGCTAGTTACACATGAACAAGATATATCATTTGTTTTTTTTGGCGCGAAAAAAATGTTGAATTTATTTTTTTTTTGAATTTTTAATATCTTTATTGTATGTTAAATTACCTCATTAGTCCACTTCCTTTGAAATTGGTTACCTTTTTTTAAAAGTCATTCAGAGTAATATTTTTTTCAAACAATCGGGGTCACGCAAGAAAAAATATTTGGGATTGTAAATAAAAAATAAATAAATAAATAAATAACAAAGATAAAATCATAAGATCAAAAATGAATAATCAAAAAAAAAAAATGGTTTTTTAGAGATTTTTTTTAATCCTTTAGACCTTATCGGGTTGGATTTGGGATTTAAATTAAATTTTTTTTTTATTAGATTTAGCACGTGAAAGGTGTATTATAAAATTTGATTTTTTTAAAATAAATATTTAATTAATTCCCTTTTCATACTTCTGTGCATGAACAAATTTTTTTTTTAAAAAAAAATTTAACCTAAAAGAATGAAAAAGATGATTTTCTGATTGGATCATACGATAAAATGTATCGTCATACCACTACCTTTGGCTATCATTGGAATATTTTCACCCAAAATGTATAATAATGTGTAAAAATTCTTTTTCTTGTTCTTAGAAATTGATTTGCAAATTGCATATCTTTCGCAATTTCCGCGACAAGCATGACAACAATATTGTTTCAAATGCAGAAAAATTTCCCATTCTACTCGGGTGATTTACCAATTATAAAAGTTGTATGACAAATCATGATACACTTTATTTTATGGATCACATGATATTTACACACCTAAAACGTTTTCTTTCAAACAAGTTTTATTTCAATTCTCTCCCGTTCAGAACAAAATTTATTTATTCTTGTTGTTGATCGGATTGAGTAACTTTCTGTTCACTACATGCTAATAATGTTTGTATTTGAAATTGTAGTTTATAAGTTTGATCTAATAAATTGGTTAAATGAGTTTCCTGACTTTCCGATTCCTAAAATTGATTCAGAAAAAAAAGCTCGTTAATTAAAGAGGTTAATTTGCGGTGATTCATTCAATCGATAATTTTTAAAAAAAAAATTTGACCTGTAAAAGATTATCACGAGTTTCAACCAATGATTTCATTTCGGTCGATAATGATTGTGATGATGTTGAACCTTGAGCTCTAGCCTTTGATCAAAAAAAACACCCCCATTAATAAACTCTCGCGCGTACGATCTCACGCGAATAATAGATCTAATCGAACTTTTTACCTCATCTCGACTTTTCTTCTTTTTTTCTTCAAGTTCCACGATATTATCGAAATATCCTTTCAATTCCTTTTCAACCTTTTGATAATTCTCATAACATTTCGTAACTTTTATACGCTTTTCCTCTTCGGCTTTTTCTGGTTTGGTTCGAGAATATTCTAACAATGATTTGAACAATTCTCCTGACGTCTCTATTAAAGTTTCTAGTCCAGTTAAACTTGTTATGGCCAATGATTCTAACGGTGTTGATACTGTGGTGGATAATGTTGATGTTCTTGAAAGGTATGATGGGTTTGATGCAAAAGACGACAATTCATCATAATTCATAGTAATTTTCGCTTCGAGTGCACATGCAAGTAATATACAATTAGATTCAATGCGTATGTCAAAATGAATATGAAAAGGTAAAAATATAAATAATTAAGGTGTAAATTTGGATAATACCGTGCTAGTATCAATGTAATTATAACCGAGAAAATATAAACTTCAATTAAGAAAAATTCAAAAAATGAGAAAAACATAAAGTTTTCGATACGAGGGGAAAAAAAAGAGAGATTCTGGACGTGTATCAAAATAAAAAAAAATTTCGAATCGGAAATTTTGCTAAGCCACTTCATGCGTGGTCATGAGATTATCATATGGCGATTAAAAATCGGTCTTTATTACTTTTTTTTTTTTTTTTATTAAAAATAGGTCTAAGTTACTAAAAACGCGTTTTAAATCATTTAATTTTGTGGAGGGATAATTATCAGTTAAGTTGTAAAATAATATTATAATATTCATTTTATTTATTTCTATTTCTATTTTTATCTCTTTTATCTAAAAGGGTTGGTTTTATTCTTCTTTGGGTTTCTTTTGGACGTAAGGCACTTTAAATATAATGATTACGAATATAATTAACACGGCCAAAGAACCTGAGGCGTAGCAAATTTCAGAGCCTGCCATCCAATATAATCCACAAGCAGCAAACGGACCTGAAGCTCTACCTAATTGCCCAAAAGATCTAAATGATCCCAATGCTTGTCCTTTTGGTATTACACTTTCATTACTATTATTACCTTCTTGTTGTTGCTCGTCGTTATCATCACATTGCATTGAAGCTATAGATGTTAAACAATTTACCACAGTGGCAGAAGTAAAAGCCAAGAATGTGGCGCCAACGTATAGCAGAGTTATACCATCCTTCGTTCTAGTTAATGAAGCTATAATGGCCAATCCTATCGAACATGATAGAATTCCTTGTACAACCAACCGTTTTTCTCCGATCTTATGTGCCTTACGTCTAACGTAGCCTCCTTGTATAAGAGCGGATAATATACCTATATACCCTAATAATTTGCCATTTTGCATATTGGTAAAATCGAATAGATCAAATGTTAAAAATGTAAGAGTAAATTCCATTCCCGAGAAAAAGAACAAATAAAGGAAATGTATCCAATTTAATGTTTTTAAATTGGACCTTCTTTTTGATACTGAAAGTGAATTTTGCGATGATGACCCTGACGACGGTTGTTTGATGGTTTCTTCCCGGGTAATCGATTTACGAGATATGGTTGCTGTTTCTGGCAATGATATGTATAAATAAAGTGTTTCTATGCTTAATAATATTAATGCTACAAGTGCCGGTGTCGAATATGGATTTAATCCCCATTCTACAAATTGTGGAAATAATTTTGCTAAATCTCTTGATGCGAAAAATGCTCCGAGTGCTGGTCCTATCGTAAATGATATCGCAAATGCGATTCCAACTAAAGCCTATAATTTATGAACACGTATTTTTTAAATAAATAAAGTGTTAAATCGACAAGACACATTATATTACAATAAAACTATTACAAACCAATCCTTTTGACCTAGATTCATGTGTTGTAACATCTGACACAATCGCTATTGACAATTGTACATTTCCTTCACTTAATCCACCAACTACACGAGCCAATACAAACCAACCAAATGATTTTGCGAATAACCATATAAGAGTCGATAAAATATTACCGATCTGATTTTCCCCAAAAAAAAATTTTTTTACTTTTACAAATAGCTATTCATGATGAAAAAAATGAAAGAATGTACGAACCATAGTAAATAATAATGTAGTTCTTCTTCCGTATTTGTCAGAACATGTTCCAATAAATGGCGATGCGACGAATTGTAAAAAAGAATATAATGATCCTAATGCTCCACCTAATAAAATATGATGGATATTCAATATTCGTTTATAATAAATAAATTAAAATGTTTGATATTCATTCTAATATTCAATATCTAAAAATCATTTTACTTTCAGTAATGTTGCACTGTAATTATTTATATTTATAGTATAATCGACGAAACCATCATTCTTAAATTGCCGATATATTAAAAATATAATTATATATTGAAAAGTCGAACCTCTTGACTATTTTTATTGATAAATTGAATGATTTTTGATATTCAAAGTCTTTTTGATATTCGTTTAAAAGTCTTTTTAAAAACAGAAAAAAACTTTAAATTCAAATTGAATTTCAAATGGAAACCTTACCTAATAATACCAGATCCCATTTAGGATTTTTTCCTCCTCCTCCTATCATTTCCCTAAACATTTGTACATTTCTTAAAAACAAACTTAATATTGTACTCTGCCAATATTTAGCAACACAATATACAAAACAGAAAGAGAAAAATTAGTTGAAAACAAATAATTTTAAATATATTATACTAAGTATGGGAAATGCACCTCATCGCCTTGTTCCCGGTCACGATAAACTTGTAATAATCTGGGAAATAATGGTAGAATGATAGTAAAGGCTAATATATCAAGTAATAATGATATAAAGACTACCCGAACAGTTCTTGATACCAAAGCCGAAGGAATATTTTCATTACTTTTTATTCCTGTAGATGCCATTATTATTAACAATAAAATTTTTTTCGAGATGCAATTTATAGATTAATGTAAACCAAAAAAAATTTTATTTTGTACAACAAACGTCACGTTTCTAAATATTAGTAGTTAAGACTTTTTACCACAAATACCGCTAATTGCGATTTATCTAACTTGGATTTATTTTTGTAGTTTTAAATATTTTTTACATACCGTAGTCAATTGTAAAAATATACTAATAATATAGAAAAGCTCAACATTATCAGAAGGAACAAGTAACTTTTAAGCGTTATGAGTCTTGACTAGTATTATATTATGACTAGTATTATATTATTAGCATGCATTCAACGAAGCTGCTAATTTCATTGAACCATTTTCTGTTTCAACTACAAAATTCTTGGGAGTTATCATTGAGTATATTCATCAAATATAACTAAAAAATTTATAATTTTGTATTTAATATATTTTACCACGGGTTTCTCCCATTTTTTTTGTATAATAAAATATATCAAAAAATGAATTATCTATAGTATTATATTCTAATTCAAATTCATTGTCATTCTTAAGTATTAATTGATCAAAAATACTTGGCAATACGATGTTTGTTTTGTGATAACATCTGGCTAATTTGAGCATCTTGAATAGGTTGACTAAAGTTTTTATCATCAATCTCGTTATCATCAATATCATTGGTAATATTATTAATGTTCGATGCAAACCTATTGTATTTAAATAAAGTATCCTGAATAATAGCAATATATTCTACATTTTGTAATATAGAATTCATTGCTTTTGAAACCTATAATAAATATTAAGCTTTATTAATTACATAATATTAAATTCAATAAATTAATTAAACTTTACAGACTTTTATTATATTAGAATCTATATCATATATATTAGGAAAGTCTTAGAGTTTTTGGAGGTTTTCTTTTGCATAAATTTTATATCTGTCATAATTACATGATTATATTAGATTTTTCTTAAAGGCCAAAAAGTAAATTAATGTTAAATTCTATATTTAATTTTATACAAAATTAAGAAATTTTCCTTTCATTTCATTTGAAATTATCTAAATTATTTTTCATTTATCATTAAAAAATCTTACATAATAAAATCTTCTATAATTCATTTTGTATAACCAAATGTATGTTAAAAAGTAATAGAAATAAGCTAAGAACATAATGGAATCCTAGGATAATGTTTGAAAAGTTGATAAATTAAAAGAATTAAAATAGTATCAAAATAAATAAATCATCATTTAATTGCCAAAATATACTATATTTTTGAGAATTTGATTTGATATTAAGTAGTAATATATCATTATAAAAAAAAAAATATTGTTGCTATCATGCAAATTGAATTTTAATTAAATGTTCTATTACATGTGATTTTTATGATTCAAATAATAAACTTACAAAAAAGTGATATAAAATATTTTCATAAAAAAAAATCTTTATATGTTTAATAGTATATTGAATTATAACTAAAAGTTAATCAAATCAAATTTAATTTATTATTATATTAATAATAAAAAAAATTATTAAATAAATATTTTAATACATTAGAATAAAAAAATTTTTCTGCTAATTTATTTACTTAATTATCTTTTAGATTTAATACTTTATTTGTAAAACCTAATTTGCTTTCATATTGTTTTTTTAAATAATACTTCTCTAAACTATGTTTAAAATATTTAAGTTTCAAAAAATTTGAGATTAAACTATTTGTTTATAATAAATATTTTTATCTAAACTTCTAATAAATTTTCTTAAATTCAAGTAAGTTTTAGATTTTAAAAAAAATCATTTTAAAGGTTCAAAAAAGTTTTTAAATTTTTAAGTAATAAGTAAAAATAGATTTAAATAATATCATAAATTATAATTATTATTATTTAATATACTCATTATACTAATAAATATCTTTTAAAATTATTTTAAAATCACATATTTTCAAAAAAAATTATAGAAATCAGAATATCTAATAATAATTAATTCTTAATTAATAAAACTGATGTTTTTTATTATATTAAAAAAGGTAAATTTTATTTTTATTTTGATATATCTATTAATTATAAGTTAAATAAAACTCAAATATAAGCTGAAATATGCATAATAGAGGTATATAAATTTGTTTAATTAGTAATTTTATTATATTAACCAAATATCTTTAATTTTAATTACAATATTTAATAATTTATATATTTGCTAATATTATATTTAGATCAGTATAAACTGATAAATTTTTATTATTGGTCAGTCTAATAGGATCATGCTGATTTTGATAGACTGATATTTTTTATTAACAGCTAAATATCAAATATATTTGCAATTATATAGACTATAAATTAAGCTTTTAATTAATATGCAATTTATTATCATTAATAAGTTTCTAGTAATCTAGATATTATAATACATTACATCAAATTAATTTTCATATTTAAAATTTTAACATTATCAAACATCTCTGTTTCTAACATATTTTTAAATTGATCAGTTCGCATATTTACTTCTAAGTTAGAAGTTAACAAATGTAATGGATTTCTTTGTATTTTTTTATTATTTAAATTATCATTATTTAATTCATGTGACATTTTATGTTTTAACACTAAAATAAAAACAAATAAATAATTAATATTTTTTCGTATTACCACAAAATAACAATTTATTTATTTACTTACTTTTATAAGAAGAAATAAACCCTTATTGTTCTTGATCTTTGAAAATATTATTTAAATCCATACTTGTTATTACATCAGAATTGGAATCTATTAAAAATTAAAATATTATTATTTTTTAAATTTATTAATTAAAAAATAAATATATGTTTAAAATATAAAAACCATGAGATTTAGATTAATCCTTAGAATGAAATTTTTTTGCAAATTCATTCAACATATCATGATGTTGTTGTTATTCAGGATGTAATATATATGCATTAATCCCCTCAAGTGATTTATGTCGTAATTGTAATGCAATTTCTTCCTTACTAATACCTAATCGTTGTAATCCTTGTATCAGCATCTTCCTTCCAGAATGATTTGAAATTTTTCGTTCTGTTATATTAACTCCAGATAATTTTGCAATCTGATTCATAAAAGAATTTAATCTTTTATATCCGACATGTTTTTTTAAATCATATTCCTGATTGTAATGCTAATAATGGATTAGTTTAAATAGGATATTAAATAATAATTATTATTAAATACTAACCAAATTCTTCATCAATTTCTTGTAAGTAAAAATTATTATCATAATTGTTTGGTCTCATGGCAAAATATCTTTCATAATCATTAATAATTTTTTGTTGATTTGGTAATATTAGATGATCTACTTTACCTTTATTGGATATAAATCCTCGTTGGTTTGTTTTTGATCTATAAATGATAACATCATACCCACCATCATTTCTTTTTTTAAAATTAGAAGCATTTAATAAATGGTGTTCACCACCATGCAATCCTAATAAGCAAGCATTAAAAAAGAATAGCCTTCTTAAAAGACGCATTGGTGTAGATTCATCCATATATTTATGTGATAATATTTGTTGAACCTCTTTATCAGTAAATGCATCAGCAACTTTTACTTCTCCATGGCCTAAGTCAGTGAGAAAGTTTACTTTACCACTCACTACTTTAATAAAAGAACGAAATGCTGATAAATTATATAAATCAATTTTTTTAATTTTTGAATGTCTTTACAAATATCTATTAATAGCTGCAACAGCAGCACGAATTGAGTTTAATGAATATTCTTCTCCATTGTTCTTTTTCATTGATGCAATATAAGCATATAATTGTTGCTCCAATTCTTCTTTATTACAAATATCCTCTACTTTACCCTCATATTGAGAAGATTGTTGAAAATTTTCCAATTGACTTATCCAATTACTAGTAACAACTTCAGTATTTTTTACTTTCAAAAATTTGTGAAAAAATTCAACATTTTTATCCTTTGTTTAAAGAAAATTTTATTTATTAAGAAAATTATTATAAAATAATAATACAATTTAAAAACTTACATTAATGTTGAAAAAATTTTATTTTTATCATGTTGCATTTTGAAATAAGCAAAACGAAGTGAAAGAGAAAAAAAAAATTTTTTTTTTTAATTACGATAATATGTACATCATCATTATATACTAATATGTATATCAATGAACTTTCTCTCTCTCCACCAAAATGACCAAAAATACTAGAAATACTAGAGAGCAGAACAAAAACTAACAAAGAGGGCGCTCAGCGTCGCCTCTACAAAATAACAACTATAAAAAAAGAAATAGAACCCAAACACTCGAAGTGCCACCTGAACAAAGTACTTCGCAAACAGTCACTCCCATCAAAAATATGGAAGTTGACCCACAATCTAACAACAAAGGGAAAGCTCCCGAAACGTTAGATGATACTCAAGGAATTTTATCCACCACCTCTCTCAACGTCGACGAAAGTTATGACTTGTCAGAAAATTTTTTGGACCCTAATACACCTTCTGTACAAGCGTTTGATAGACCTAAACCCTCTTTTCACGCGTTTTTTCCACTTGAAGACCTCCCAGGCACGTCGCCACAAAACAAAATTTCTTCGATCATTGACCTCCTTTTCGACAAATACGACTCGTTCACTGGGGCAGTCTCAACAAAACACCCAGTTACACCAAACTAACGCATTATCAAAATCTCTTTTCACGACAAAGCACAATAAGATCATGCGTGTTCAGTCAACTTACCAAATTTAGAAAAACACACGTTTCTCCCCCTAGATATTACACCAAACTCTCCATTCATTCCGGCGCAGTCGATCAAAGTTACGGAAATACCCCTAGATTCAACTGAACA